GTTATCAACATTATTCTCACAGTAAATCCATAACACAGCACTATGCCAGCTACTAGGAAGAAAATTAACTCTATCCCAGCTGAAACCAGGACACTAGGTTTCCTGTTTTTTCACTATGCCCCATCCCAACTGTTCAGGTTTCAGTCTCAATCTTCTTGGTTATAGCAAATTTGAGTCCTTTAAGCTCAAATGTTGAAAATCCAGCTTTGTCTAACAGACTCTGAAAGTATTATTTTCACTTGCTGAGCAACAACTAGTAATCTCTTCTGGTCATCCGTACTGCTGTGTTACCCCTTGCACCTTGTTTTTGCAATATCGTAGATGCTTTTCTCACCTGGCTGTGGTCAGCTGAAAGCATGACATGCAACTCATCTGTGGTATTCATTTTGGTCATCCTTGCGCATCAGGTGATGCCAAGCCTGTTTGCAGATCCATATCTAATGCTGTTTTCACAAACATCTCTGCTGCACTTTCCCTTAGCTTCCTGTACCTTAACCTTAGGTCTTGTGAGCTTAGCTCCTTACCTGTCTAATATGCTCTTACAGGGTCCAGGCATCATGAAACTTAACCCACAGCTTTTGCGACAGATTTTTTTTTTGTGTTTCATAGCACTACCACATCACTAGATACTATTTTGGAGCCCACAGATTGATTCTACTGACACCAGTGACATACCAACCCTCTGTTTTCACAGCTGATGTACGTGGCCAAATGGCTCAATCTATTTTGCAATGACAGGGGCTGCTGTAATCTACTGATTCTGTTGCACAAGTTTAACTGTATATGGTCAAAGCGATTTAGGTACTCTTGATTTGTAGAGAGAAGAGAATCAGCTCTATGTGTTTTTGGAGCAAATGATCCTGACGTTCACCCACAGTTTGGGTTCTGATATCCTAGCTTGAAATGGCCATTAGACTGGCAACAGCAGAAATTTCATAAGGACTCATTACAGCCCCCAAATGAGACAAATGCAACTAGACCTTCTACAGAGATTCTTTCTAATGAACAGTGCTGGCTGTGCTGTTTCCTAAATTGAATTGAAGACACTGAGGATTTGGGGACTGGAGGTACACAGCAGTTACTAAGGAAAAGGGGCTAGTAGCAGTGAAAGTGCCCTGTAAATGTGGTCCTTGTGACCTAACTGCTCTGCTGTGAAGGTCTAAGGCAACAGTGTTTATGGCAGACAGAAAACCAGATCTGCTATTGTTTCTGTTATTGATGAGAAGGCTTTAAATCCAGACAGAGCAATAAATGGAAGAAAGAACTAGAAAGCTGGGTTTTTTTCCTAGATTCAGCTAGCGTTTGCTAAGAATTACTCATGAGCAAAGAGTTCAAAAATTCAAATTCAATGAAACAGTCTTTTCACTAATGGGCAAACTGTCAGTTTGAGGAGAGGAACAACTTGTGGGTTGTTACAAATGTACCTTCTGGTAGAGGTGTCTTATATATTCCTGGTTTACTCCCATTATCTCTGGAAGCCTTTAAACCTCAGTGTCTCTAATAAAGACAAAACTGTCAGAGCGACCACAACTGCTGGAAAGGAAGGGCTTTTTGTTTCCCGTAGCGAGACTCAGCTGTCCAGCTGCCTTTAATGCCTGCTTGATACTATATTGATTCAGCAGCAGCAATTATGACTGTTTCTATCTCTGTGTGTTTCCATATGAAACATGATTTTCTTTACAAAAAAAGGCCAAAAGTAGCTAGATGTATGGGCATCCCCCTCTTTCCCCAGGTATCTTTGTCTATCTGTTAAAGTAAGACTTTGGAAACCAGTGCTAGTCACCATATTAGCGTTTCAGTAGAGGTCTCAACTTTCCTTCTGAGATACAGGATTTACAGTTACTGCTCTGACAGCATTATGAGGATCCTTCTGTTAATGAGGATGAGTCAAAACCATTTACTTTTAAATATTTCCAAATATTTCGACCTACTGTTGTTTTGGTTTTCCCCTTTTCCTTCTTACCCCTCTGATACTAATTTCCGAGGTCCTCTTACCCCTTCAAGTCTACAAGTTTCTCAAAGGGTCTCAGTCCCAGATAGCTGCCTCGGGAGGAGCTAGCGCAGAGGGAGAGGTCTTTCAGGAAGAGGCCTAGACATGATGTTTCAGCATGTGCCAGATATGCATGTGAAGCAAGACAGTGACTGCTAAAGTAATATGAGAGGTGTAACTGGTTATAGGGATATTTAGCTCCAGTGAGCATAAACGGAGCTGGTTCAGACAGCGCAGTTGCATTTGCCTGCAATCCCTGGGGCAGGTTTGGACACTGCACTTACTCCTCAGTCTGCAGTTCTGCATCACATAGTGGAGAGATGACTTCACTGGGATTAAGATCTAAGATATCTCTATGGCATCCCAGGGTTCCATCTCCACAGTTTTTCTGGCATTGGGAGATTGCAATTTTATATTTAACCAGAAACATATCCTTTCTCTTGTTCCTCACTGAGCATGGTCTGTACAGTGGGGCCCTTAGCCTATATCTCCCATTTTGGCATAGTGGGGCAATGTGAACCAGGCTGGGGAGAAGGCTGTAGTGGGCCTGGCAGGTCCACATTAAATGACTGCACGTGAACTCCTATTCTACATGAATCTACCTGGGAAGATTCCTGTGATTTTTTTTTTTTTTTTTTTTAAATGGAAGATTATACAAGGAAAGCCTGACTGAAAAGAAGACATGACTTAAGGCACTCATGATGTTAGCAGCTACTAGTGCTGCACGTGCATAAAGCATTTGGTGTTTAAAAAAAAGTCTTTCTGATATGCAGTGTAATCTCCCTGAAACATTAGTCTCCCTGAAATCCTTTAATTGAATCTTCTAAAGTCCTGAACAGATAGTGAGGGAGAAAGAGAGAGAGAAAAGATAGAGCGAGATTAAAGCGGCTTTTCTAGTTAGTCCAAGAGCGAGTGAGTCTCCTTCTATCTCTTTCTTCATCTATTCAAGGCCTCATTCACTTCCCATGTGCCTCCCACTGACAGTATTGCTGCTCAAGCACACTATGCATGAATTGCCATAATGTTTTATTTTGTTATAATTGGTTTCTTTAAACCAAGGCTTTAACACCCACTGTCTCATGCCATTACCAAGGGCATTCTGACCTGCCTTCATGTAAATTGCAGCATCCAAAAGACATAGGGTTTTTTTTTCTTTCTTGCCAATAGACAAGTAACATCTGTGTGAATTCACATTATTTCCTAATAGACAAAAATTGAACTTAAATGCAGTGTACATCAAGATAATAAATGACTCTTGTTAGAGGAAGTTACTGAATAGAGCTCACTGAAGTACTCTCTATTCTCTCAGCGTGACATCTTTCTTTAGAGCAAACACTTTGAATGTTGTTATTATAAGGAGGTGTTATAACAAAGGTGCCTATAGTGTGAATGTAGTTCAGTGGGACTGAGAGTACTGTGCTGTTAGAGCTGGTCAGAGTGCTGGATGGGAACTTTGTATACCACTCCCATGTTGCTATTCATTACACTAGAGCAGAGTTATGTAGTGGGGATGTTGGTTTTGCACAGGCAGAAATGCCAGGCTTTCTGTGCATAGCTGGGGCTTTGGACAGGGGTCAACTTTTAGGAAAAAAACAACAGGCTTATACCAGCATCTGCCTAATACAAACCCTCCAATCTGCTAGGCAGGCATCTTCTTCAAACTCAGCAGACGTTCCTGAGAGACTGTCTGGAGGGGAGACGTGACAGGTAATGGGGGAGAGAAGACAGGACTATTTAGACTGGCTTAGCAGCTGGAAGCCATTAGAATTTAGCAAGGTTTTTCTCCTTGGAGAAACCTTTAAGCAATTAAATTAGCAGCAGGCCTAGGGAAGTGAAAAAACTACAAACTCCTGTTTCCCCGAACCACCCTCCAGACTTAGGCCACTGGAGTCTCTGATGAGCCACAGATCTCTGGAGGGGGATACAGCCTGAAAAGACTGGGAGCTTTGCTGTTTGTAAGCTTACCCAGCACTCTTCTTGCACTTTCTCCAGCCTGCTCCCCTTTCCCAGCCTTTCACTCTGCAAAGCAGTTAAGAAAAGTCCTGGTGTGACAGGCACGGGCAGAAAATCAACTGGTCTGAAGAAAGGGTGAAGCAGCAATACTATCTACAGATGTAAAATTGCCCAGAATAAGAGTGGTCTCCTGCAACTTCATGAGCTGCACATTGTCCGTAAGTCAGGACTGTGTTCCTGGAAATGGGCTCAGGCTGGTGCAGAAGTGAGCCAGAAGCAGATGAACCCTAGGGCCTAGCTACATATCCAGGCCAGCCCAAAAGGAGCAGTGGGACCCCTGTGAAGTCCTCATCCTCTGCTGCTTCCTGCCTGCTCTCAGAGACCCCTCTCCCTTCAGCTTTTCTAATATGCGGCTTGTTTCCTGTGATTCACAGACATATCAAGACTTTGGGATAGAGCTCATAAGATAAGTCTTTAAGAGAACACAGCCCTTCTGTATGAAATGCACAGAGGATCTGAGACATGTTCTTTGAGAAGAAGAACAAGGTATCACAGAAATAATGAAAATCTCAGACACATTTCTATCTCCAGACCCATTCAGAAACCCTTTAATGCTACTTTTTATATTACCAAGGCCAAAGTCATTGCTGGTGCAGTTGTGACTGGATCCATTGTTTCTTCACAAAGCTATTGCTGTAGAGAGCTACCACTGACTCAGCTGACCACATAGATACAAAACACTAAGTGCTTTAAACAAAACTGTTCTGTTGCAAGACCTGAAAATGCTTCATAAATGTAACCAAATGAGATGTACGTATCTCATAAATATTATCAGATGAGGTTTATATAAATCCATAGCTGAGATGTAGTGACATCATTCCCAAAACCTTCTATGAACCCAGCAGTACAAAACTCCCCAATGCTTACACATTTTCTGCTCACAGGTGTTAATTCCTCTACTTACAACTGTATCTACTCTAACTTGGTTGACTTAATTTAATTCAGATAAAGATTATTTTTCCCAAGGGACCCCAGATGCTTTGAAATTGGTCAGTACCAGATATCTAGATCAGAAGAATAATCTGTAGCTCCAAGAAACACATCAAGGGGACAGTACCAGAGTGTCACCATTTCAGAGGAGTATGTCTGTCTGGGCAGGGACTTGGCATGAGCAAGGCCTGCAAAAAAAGAAAAAAAGACTGCTATGTCAGGACAGTCCTTCTACCTGTACAAGGCATAGATGATAATAATTGGAAACAGGACATTCTTTTCTCTTGGACCTTTAAACACAAGCAATCCCAATGCAGTTTACAAGCAATTGACAAAGAAAGTGTGTCTGGAATATACCTCTGGGCAGATCAGATCAAGCAATATGATGTGTTTTGCAGGGCTTTACCATTTGTGACTGAAGCAGCCATCCCCAAACCAATGGGTTCAGCACATTGCTGTGGACTCTACATGTTACATTATCTTCTGAAGAGAGAGGGGTTGATTCTCAATTCTCTTGAACCAGTTTTAGGTGGCAGTAATTGCTCTGACTTAAATGAGGTTACTCCCTGCACCTATCAGTATAAAGGCAAGAAAGGGCTGGACTGACCACAGAAATAGTTTCCTGAAGTTCAGTAAGAGGTTATGCTTCTATGCCTTAATTGGCTGTGGATAAAGATCTGTATGCATGCTAAAGCTTCAGTTTGAGCAGATACATTAGCAGTATCTAAACTGTGACTCACCAAAGTCACCTAATTTGAGCTCACCAAGGCAACTGATGAGCAAGTTCTGGGGTTTCAGATCACGGTGAAGAATGTGTTGTTGTTGGATGTAAGCCAAGCCATGCAAAAGCTGGAACATGAAGAGCTAGAAAAAGCCAACAAAAAACTGAAATGATTTTGTGTGACTTTGCATTGATACATTAACTTTGAACTTCAGTAGAACTCCTGGAACAAAGCAGAGACAAAGCAAGTAAGAAACCAGTAAAAAATTCAAAAAAATTAGTAGAGCTGGCTGAGGAAGAGAAAACTGCAGTAGGGCATGACTGCCCTGCAGCTTTCTGAGGCTTTCAGGATGCAGTATTTGGCCATGAGGGCAGTTATAGTGCAGTCCCTAAGTGCACATTTTGGAAATTCACCTTTTCTTTAGAAATGGACTATTGATTGCAGGAGCAAGCACACTTGCCAAAACACAGACCTGGCTTTGAGAACAGCACATATTCTGATTTCAGTGTTCAAGACAAAGACATACAGCCAAACAGTGTTCAAGACAAAGACATACAGCCAAACAAAATGGACTTGGTAATGTTAGGTTAATGGTTGGACTGGATGATCTTAAAGGTCTTTTCCAACCTAAAGGATTCTATGATTCTATGAAAATGAAGGTTTAAGGAGCTGGAAGTTTTGCCCATTTGAGCCAGCTGACACCAGCAGAGGGAGTTCTGCGGCCGCTGTACACACCAGCTCTTCCCAGTATAAGCTGGACCAGTGAAATGACTGACTTCACAATGTGAACTGTTATCTTCAAGCTGGGAGAAAACACAAGGACCTGATTTGAACAGATATAGAAAATAAGGTATGATGAATGAAGCAAGAAAACAAGAAAGCAGAAAACAAGCAAGAAAGAAATACCTAACTCCTACCACCATTGCAATGTAAATAAACCTGGGGTAAAATAAGTTGGGCTGAAACAAGATATGAAATTGGAGAGTGGACAGAAACAAAACACAGCAAAATAAATTAGACATCACCAGAGAAAAGATATTTTTCACCAGAAGCTTAATCTGAAGAGGAGGAAAAACAGTGACACCCATCGGTCATTTTTGTACCAGAAAAGTGTCCCTGTAATATTCTGCATACTTGCATTGTATTCAATAGGAACCACTCAGAGAAAAAAACAAACATTTGCTAGCAAAAATGAAGCAAGCTGGATGACGCTCCTAAAGGAGCAGAAAATCATTTTGCAGTTCAGTTCCTGCTGACAGTGAGGATTTCGGACAGGAAAGCAGAGCAGCTGGCTAGCGTTTACTCACAGAAATGCCAGTAAGTACATGTTACAGCCATGTACTCCATGGGCTTTACAAGCCTGCCTGGTAGCAGAGCCCTTGGGATCTGTGCCAAAACTACAAAACTGCATCTTGGACATATCTGAGCTTTAAGGATGTTTAAAATCTGGGGCCCCAAGAAACTTTATTAGAATTGGTGTTGCTTAACAACTATCTGGAAAAAGATGTGAACAAGGTGGCAACATTTGAAGATGACAGAAGTATTTAGATTAGCTGTGATAAGAAGTGACAGTGAGGAACTTCAGAGAGATCTGACAAAGTCAGATGAATAGGCAGTTTGATAAGATACAAAGTTATTGTTGACAGCTATAATATAAATTAACTGAAGCTGCTCAAGAAAAGGACCCAGACATTCACTGAGGACATCTGCACTGAAACCTTAAGTCAGTGGGCAGCAAAAATCTTGAAAGTTAATTAAATGTGAAGATGCATACAAAGGAGAGTAGAGGACTATTATAACATCAGTCTATAAAGTAAGGGTACATCTTTACCTATGCTCAGGTCCAGTCAACCAATCCCAAAAAGCTGTAGTAGAAACAAAAAGGATTTAAATGACTGTAAATATGAAGAGAGTTCCAGATGAGGAGAGAGCGAGATTGAGAGATTTTAATTCAAGAGACTAATAATGTATTCTAATGATAAGAGAATACAAATTTGTGTAGAGACAGATTTGCTTGCCACAAGATGTCATTGTTCACAAAAGCTGAATGTCCTTTTGCAGGCTTAGAAAATGGGAAGAGGGGCTAACAGAAAAAACGCTTGGAAACTGAGAGGGAGGTTGTTACATCTTTATCAAAGGCAGATTTTCTCCAGAGTGTTTGTCACATATGGAACAAATAAATATTAGCAAGCAATTTACAGTGACCATATATAGTGGAAAATAACACTTCCTGATGCTTTAAGGGATACTAGTCTTTTAAGGAACTCACCATAACATTGCATGAATGAAGTCCTTCAGGATGCTGGCCCATGTACTGTGCTAGATCTGTGTGCTAAATAAAAGAGGAGAACTTGAGGCAAAGCTACTACTGTAAAATGTTTCTACCAACAATGCCTCTTCTGTAAATGCAAAAAATATGCAACCACTACAAAGGTGTTGCTTTCACCTTGGTGAACATCTGATCTGATGCAGCACTCAAGGATGTGCTTAAGTACTAGGTCAAATCAGGGACCCTAGCAGTTTATGACCTGAAGCTGATAGATAACAGAATTCATACTTGTGCCAGAATTAATCATAAAGCTGCAGTAAGAAGACATAGCCCCTGTATTTTCCTTATAATTTGGTTGATAGCTACCAGCAAAAGCAACAGAAGTAGCAAGACTCATGCTGAGAACTTTTTTACTGGCCTCCTGCCCTCCCCATGTGTCGTGATTTAACCCCAGCTGGCAACTAAGCACCACACAGCCACTTGTTCACTTCCTCCCGGTGGGATGGGGAAGAGAACTGGAAGAGTAAAAGTGGGAAAACTCATGGGTTGACATAAAGACAGTTCAGTAAGTAAAGCAAAAGCTATGCATGCAAGCAAAGCAAAACAAGGAATTCATTCACTACTTCCCATCAGCATGCAGGTGTTCAGCCATCTCCAGGAATGCAGGGCTCCATCACACATAACGGTTACTTGGGAAGACAAAACGCCCTAAGTCTGAATGTTCCCCCTTTCCTTCTCCTTCCCCCAGCTTTATATGCTGAGTATGACGTCATACAGTATGGAATATCCCTTTGGTCAGTTGGGGTCAGCTGTCCCAGCTGTGCCACCCTTCCAACTTCTTGTGCACCCCCAGCCTACTCGCTGGTGGGGTGGCGTGAGGAGCAGAAAAGGCCTTGACTTTGTGTAAGCACTGCTCAGCAGTAATGAAAACATCCCTGTGTTATCAACGCTGTGTTCGGCACAAATGCAAAACATAGCCCCATACTAGCTACTATGAAGAAAATTAACTCTACCCCAGCCAAAACCAGCACATTCTAATGTTAAACCATGACACCATGAGAGCAACCCAGAGCTTGGTCATGGTGAGCTGCTAGGGTCAGTGCCAAATCTGACCCCATCTGGGATACGAGCTCATATCATTATTTCCTATCCTTGCTGTGTCTCAAGAACAGTACTTTTATTGTATTGTAAAGGCAGAAATGGACGTAAATAGTGTCTGCCACCCTAGTGGAGACAAGATGTGGAATAATTTTTTGTGTACAGCTGTGCACATATACAGAAAGAAAAGAGTAAGGCTATGTGGCTGGAAAGCAGGAGATCAAGAAGGAAAATCAATCATTGCACTAAAGAATTACAACTTGTCTCTTTGTAGATGTTTCATAATGCAGTAAATTCATTATGCAGCCACTTCCCAGTACTTCCCAGTACTAGCTCCACAGGAAGCTAGGAAAAGATCAACTCACCATGTACTCAGAGACAAATGTTGGTGTCTCCTTGGTCTGGATAGTGTCCTGAAGCATGCTGGCATGTTTCAAAAGCTTGAGAAGCTGGGGAAACACAAAAGGAAGATCAACTTAACCACTGCTGCTGGAAGCGGAAGGAGACAGTGCACACAGCAAGGCAGTGAAAATAAAAAATTGGGGAGAAATAGTCCAAAGTTGGCAGCTCTATAAGAAGCAGCAGCTACTGAGTCTGGAGGAGGATGGAACGGCTCCTTAGAGAAGCAAGCTTCAATGCTGTGGACTTGGCAGGAACCCGTCCATCTCTCAGAGGTGGGATCTTGCCTCTGTCAGAAATAGCAGTTCGCAGTTCCCAGCTGTCAGCTTCTCAGCTGAGGAGAAATAATTTCTTCAAGGCAAATGCCGAGAGGCAGGGGCTGGGAGCTCCCAGAGCCAGAAAGCAGCAGCCCCTGGCCTGTCACTGAGCTTCTCACCCTTCTCCCATCCGCCTCCTGGCATGTGCCCTCAGCAGGGCCCTTAGGAGACTTCTGGGGAAAGCTGAGTTTCTATCAGCTTCCAGCTTCACAATATCAGGGTGTAAAAATTTGCCAAAAGAAATCACTGTAGATACTAAGCTGAATTTAGCTGTGTGCTTTTAGCTTGGAGAAAGCATATTGGTTACTTTCTCCAGTTTAAAATTCAAAGAGCAGAGATGATGAAGTTACTGAGTGAACAGTAACTTGTTTGTATTTATACAACTTTGGCACATTTTTTCTTTTGGCCTAACCATCTAAAAGCATTATTGCAACTGTGTGGCCCTGGTCCTTAGGTGCTGGCATGCCTTTGCCAAGCCTCAGCACATCTAGGGTGTGGTGATGGAGAGGGTAGCACATGGAAGCATCTCTGCCTCCATACAGACCACAGAGCACTGACTGATGCTAAGACAAAAGCTACAGCCTTCTGAGCCTTTCAGCCTTGCATTAGGTTTCTCATGATAGAGCGGGCTCCAGCTGACATACTCATGAAGGCAGCTTCTCAGCAGAAAGTCTCAAGGATAGTCTTTATGGGGGAAGAGCATGCACAGCTTCATCATTTGCTACCATAGGTTTGAGACAATAGTTGCTGTAGCTCTGTACAGAGGGATGTGGGGAAGTGGTGGAGCTGGTATCACTCTGCCTGTGGATCGATCCCTGGCACTACTGAAGAATCCGAGCCAGCTGTTACACTGAGACTATGCACAGACAGAAGCCCCAAAGCTCAACAAAAACAGGGGTCCCTGACTCCACATTTTAGTTCAGCTTCTGACATAGCAGAATAGCCTCAAAACTGCTCTAGATTCACCGTTCCCTACGGACTAAAACCAAATTAGTTTACTCTCAGACCACACGGTGCTACAAAATTCATTCAGATAAGGCATGGGCATACAATCTCGTTTCTGCTGAATTAGCCGAAGCACACAATACAGAGCTTGGGTCGGCCGTGGGAGGCCAAATGAGTTTTGGTCCTGGATAAAAGCTGCTTTTTGTTTTTCAAACAATCTGCAAAAGATATTTGAAGAGTTTTGTGCTGGCAAAGCAAATTTATACTGGATTAGCACTTTGCCTTTTGTGACCATAACATTTTCACCTGGTTCTAAAAGCCCTACAGCCAGATATACTGTATTACACAGCTGTGGCCTAAGCATATGTCAATACTGAGGCTACTGAGCAGTAAGGGGTGCCTGATGCAGCACAACTTCTGGAAACAGCACAGAATGTAAATTAGTTCTTGCACAGAGCTGGGTGCTGCTGCAGCTAAACTGCCTCTAGTACTGATTCTAGTCCATTAAGCTACCACCAGTACCTTCCCAGGGCACAGCAGTATGAACCATAAACACACTTCACAGTGCACTGAATTGCCTATGAACCCAGTAAAGATACTCTGGCTAGATCCCATCTGCTACAGAAAGGGGCTGCTAACATGGCTCTGTGATACCTCAAAAATCCTATATGACCAGAGCTGTTGTTCCAGAAGAGCAGTACAGAGGGTCCACAGTAATATGGAGAATTCAGCTCCTGTGCCTGTATCAGGTCTCTGGGAACTGCTCCTCACTTGGTTGCTTCTACAGCCCCCAGCTGGGGTGTCAGGTGCTACAGCCAGAACTGAGCTTTAAACGCATTTTGTCTCTGTGGGGCTTCCTGGAGTAAAGTGGCTCTTTGTCAGAGGAGTGCCATTCCTCTAGGGTAGCAGAGAATGCACCACGTTAATAAATCTTGCGCTTTGTTTGTGCTGCTGACTTACGTTGTAAATTTGAGGTGTCAGATGCTGCAAAGCTCAGCAGTACACAAAAGATCTATTTAAAGTAGACCCTTCCTATATAGGATCACACTTGTTTTCTCCCATAATGAATGAAGTTAAGGCTCTCAGCCTGTCCAGTAGAGCATGTTAAAGGGTTGCTGATCTTTAGAGCATCATTAGTTCTATGTAGATAAAGCTTTTAAGGCTATTTTACTGGTGGGCTACAAGTGTAAACGCAGAGCAAAAGCACCACAGCAAATGTGTATAAGAAGCTGTAACACAAGCTATTCTGTAAAGAGGCATATTTAGGCATCTCTCTGCTTTCACCCAGAGTTGGACTAAGGACTTTGTAAACTTTTGTATCTTAATTACACTGTTATAAACCTGGAGTGGGTCCACCGACCTCTCTCATTATTCTCAGTTGACTGGTATGAGAGTCCTTCTCTGCTAGGGCAGCTCTGTGAAAGCTGGCACACCTGGTCCCAGACATTCCATCCCTGCGATGACAAAATCAACCCTGGTCTTGATCCGCAGTAAGAAGTAGAAAACAAAATATGTGTGACCTCTTACATTGATAGCTCTCACTAATACCAGACAACAGACTGGCACAAAGGTTGCTTATTTCTGTGTAAGGAAGAAACCAGATTATGATTCCTCTTGGGATTGTAGAGATGAAAATAGAAGCCTTAATCAACCAGGCAGTTTGTGAGCTTGGTCTGTAGGGACATGTAAATACATTCAGCCAAAATCAAGCACTTAAACAAAAGCATTTCTTTCTCAAAGAAATTGGGTAAGCTGCAGACATTTTGCCCAGTGCTCTACAAAGTCGACCGATAGAAAGAATTTCTCACTGGGCTGAAATGATAGATGTCATTAAACACCAGTTTTATTGAAAGCGTTTCTCTTCAGGCTGGGGTCTGTGATGCTCCAGGTATCAGCTGCCATCACACAGGAAAGTGGCACCATTTGCGATAACAGCAAGCAGAGACCCTGGTGCAAAGGGCATTTCCAGTCCAGAACTGCCCAATGCAACAGCAGCAAAAACTGCTGTGCAGTGCTAGTGTATAGAAATGGGAGTGAGAAAGCAACTACAGGAGCAGGTAGCAGGCAGGAGGTGTAAGAGGGCCCTACACTGCTAGAAAGGGCACGCTCTGGCTGCAGGCAGCCCTTATCACAAGCTTGGATGCATCTGTCATGAGGGAATACACTGGCCAGCAGGTTCCCCCTCCATCCATCACATGCTCACCCAGCCCAGCACAAAGACCTCCTTCGTGAGGGGATAAGGAAACCGACAGTTTTGGGAGAAGGATAGCCGGCATGTTGAGTAGGCAAGAAAGGACTTAGGAAGCGTGCCCAGGTGGCCAAGAAGGCCAACAGCATCCAGGCTTGTATCAGGAATAGTGTGGCCAGCAGGAGCAGGGAGGCGATTGTTCCCCTGTACTCAGCACTGGTGAGGCTGCACCTCCAATACCGTGTTCAGTTTTGGGCCCCTCAATACAAGAAGGACATTGAGGTGCTGGAGCGTGTCCAGAAAAGGGCAACAAGGCTGGTGAAGGGTCTGGAGCACAGGCCTTATGAGGAGCGGGTGAGGGAACTGGGGTTGTTTAGCCTGGAGAAGAGGAGGCTGAGGGGAGACCTTATCGCTCTCTACAACTACCTGAAAGGAGGTTGTAGTGAGGAGGGTGTTGGTCTCTTCTCCCAAGTAGTTAGCGATAGGACAAGAGGAAATGGGCTCAAGCTGCGCCAGGGGAGGTTTAGATTGGATATTAGGAAAAATTTCTTCATGGAAAGGGTAGTCAAGCATTGGAACAGGCTGCCCAGAGAGGTGGTGGAGTCACCATCCCTGGAAGTGTTCAAAAAATGGGTAGACATGGCACTTGGGGACATGGTTTAGCAGGCATGGTGGTGTTGGGTTGATGGTTGGACTGATGATCTTAGAGATCCTTTCCAATCTTAATGATTCCTAGTTTTTACTTTCATTAAAAAATAATCCAGCCACCAAGCCAGGAAACATGAAATTGCTACTCTACCCTTAATTGGTTTAGTGGAGGACTTGGTAATGTTAGGTTAATGGTTGGACTGGAAGATCTTAAAGGTCTTTTCCAACCTAAACGATTCTATGATTCTATGATTCCAAGACGTCACATAGAGTTTTTTCAGGTTAGAACAAATGCTCTTCAAGAATGATGTCCCCCACTCTTCACTGATGTTTGAAGAAGCTCTTTATGTCTTACCTTCCCAAATGGCTGTAAAGGGCACTCGCTCCTCTGCCTCGAGCCTCATCACGTTTCAACGCCACCAACTGGCCTTTGATCCTGTCAGCTCAGAGTGGAAGATCACACAAAGCACCTCAGTGCTCGGCATGACAACAACATCAGCAGTCTCCTGGGGTGCTCCACACTTACTCAAGCAAAATGTCTAGGGCTCACTGCCTCACCCAGGCCAAGCTCAGAAAGGAACTATAAACCACCTCCATCTTGTCTTCATTAGCAGCGAAACAGGAGCCAGCCCAACTGGCTACAGCAGCACTGTTCTGCTGACCTGGTATTGCTAGGGAATGGCTTTGGGCAGTGTTCCCATTCTGCTCTCTCACAGCTTTCCTGCACCTGCGTGATGGCAGCATGGCCTCACCCCCAATTTTTCCATCATGCAGGGATCCCTCATTCCAAGGAAAACCCTCTCCCTCCCTGGTGCAGCCAGTCAATCTCCTGGCATGCTGCTGCAGAGCAAAGTGTCTTTGTGGAGCCTCCATGGCTGTAGTGGAGGAGTTCCCTGAAAAACTGGAATGGCGCTTTGCAAATATTCTCATTAAATGCAAAGCTGGACTTCTGATTTGCCTTTATCTTCCTGCAAGTACTCTGAATTCCCCAGCTTCAAGCTCATTCTTATGGATTCTCATAACAGGTGTTTTCAGCAGGCATTGGGAAGGCAATAATGGCACCAGTGGTCTTTGCTCACCTGCCAATCCCCTTGTACAGAGTTGCACAGCATCCTTCACGCAGCTTCTCTAGATGTACATAGTATGTGGCAGCTCCAAATGGGATGCCTTGTCTCTGCTTCATGAAGAAATTGATATGTGTTTTAGATTGCTGGGTAAAACAAGAAGCTACTAGCATGTCATTCAGTAATTAAATACTGATTCATGGCTTGAATAATCATAGGATGAAATATCTCCTGTCTGGCTGTATGGATGCTGCACAATCACCCGTCTGAACCTCTCCACAACATCCTGCTCCTGGAAAGGATCAGGGTAACTCCAAGGCCTCTGCATCCTGCACCTCCAACTCTGGAGGGTGTAGAGCTGAGGGGGCTGCAGTGAGGGTAGAAGAAGGGGTGCTCTTGTTACATCTGACAGCTGGCACAGGAAAAGGAGGCAAACTATATCACTGGCAAACCACCATTTTACTGATGTGATTCTTTCCTTTCTTCTTGACTGCACTGGCTTTGAGCACTTAACATCATTTTCATCTCCCTCCCCACAAGTCACGGATCTCCAGTACAGTTTCTCAGCTCCATCTGTAAGGGGAGCAACTGTCTGTATGTTCCTGTTGTGGTAAATGGTAGCACTCAGTCTGAGAACACACAAAGATAAAACTGCCTTAACTGCAGAGGACGCTTCTGCGAGTATCATTCTAAATGCATGTTATTCTCTCTTACCCTTGATTTATTCATCTCTAGATAGCAATCTGTTAGAGCTGGGACTAAAAACCAAATGCAGGAGTGAAATTTCAGGAAGTTTAAATTTATGTCTTTTTCTCCTCCTTACCCCCCTGCCTCCCCACCCTCCACCATGTCGAGCCTTTCTCACCACTGTATAATTTACACAGCCTGTTAATTTGGCCCATACAGCATAACAGTGCCATAAACTATAAAAATACAAAAATAGTGGTAATGAATGGCAGGCAGCCTGCAAGCTCCTCCTGAGCAGCTACATTGGATGGATGCCTGCATTATCATTTGACTCAAATATATCAGGATTTGTAATCTATGGCATGCTGCCTGCTCCAGAACTGTAGGTTGTTGGCTCCCTCCCTGTTTTACAATCCCTCATTGGCATAGAGCTCACTGGAGTGCAATCTTCTCCCTGTCCATCACATCAAAGGCATTTATTGTCATCTAAGGCACGGAGTCCTCTTTCAGGAGCTTCACAGCCTGAAGCCGCAAAGTTTGACGCTGTCTGGTTAGAAGCAAATGTGAGTGGTTTGCACTCCCACAACCAGTGCAAGAACCCAGGCTTAACCTATATCAATGCACAAGTATCATGGTGTGCTACTAAATACCTCTGCTGTAAATGCTGCTTCCATGTGCTTGGCCCTGGATATGTTGGGAGCCCCTTTTCTGTGAACAGCAGCTGCAGCATCCTGGTCTGACAGCACTTACACACAACATGTCTCCCATGTTGTTGTCCTGATGCAATTAAAATGTATCTCTTTTTTTATCCTTTGCTCCTCCTCATCCCTCCATCTGTAATAACAGTTCATATGACTTGCATAAGATCTCTGCCTCAAGCGGTCTTGTGATTTCTGCAGTTTTTCTTTGAAAACCCAACATGCAGTGATCCAAGTTCACCCCTGGAGCAGCTCCATTGATTTCAGCTCATTTGGCACGTGCCCTCTAAAAACAGCCAAGAGTTTTTCATAACCAAAGATGGAGAATTAAGCAATAAATCCAAACTCTCTGCTCATACAAAGTTCTTTCAGTTAAGCAACTCTCAGTGTAATATGTTAGGTAATGAAGTGATAGGTTTCATACAGGAACAGACCTTGACTTCCCTCCATGTCTATAGCAGTTACTATTCTAGATGCCATTAGGCTTTAAGTTGAGCTATCTGAGCAGCATGGCTGAGTTGTGCTTGCTGCAGGAGCTGTACATTGACTCTCCTTGCTTTGGTATTTACGTTCTTAGCCATGATGTGGTGGCGATGTCAGCATGGGGAGCTGTCTGTCCCTGTTGGATCACTTGTCTAAGGGATGCAATGAGTTGTAGCTGACAGACAATAGTCTTGTCCACAGGTCAAAGCCAGAGCAAACTGATGAATCCAGCCCAAAATACATTTCATCAATTATGTATCAAGTAGGCAACGCACGGTGGACTTACGTTGGATGCGGACAGATAAAAGTCCCCTTCTTTCAGTCCCCCATGAGTGGGACTTGCTGTGCAGCTTCCTAGGACTAACACCCAACCCATACTAGTGTAAAGGTGAAAGGACTGAGAAAAATGCTGGCAAGGGGTGAGGGAGCAAGCGTTGTAGTGTGGAATTCTTATGCTGATCCCTGAGGTCCTTCAGTTTTCATTTCAATGCATGACATGAAATTTTCCCTTTGCTTCACTGTTTTGGTGTCTAAGAATAATGCTCTTTCCTTGAGCAAAACGATTTTTTAAGCAAAAATTTACTGGGAAGGCAGGAACAATTTCTGTGTCTCATTGCAACCAAACTACCCAGCCTTTACGTGGCAAGAAGGAGCTAACATACCTGGAAGGCTTGATTTCTTTCACATGATTTTATTTTGCAGTCCCGAGTTAGCCATAATTTGCTAAATATCTATCATCCTGGACTTCAGTCTTCTATTTATTTTCCACATCTTCTTTGAGCCATTAGGACACAGCAGTAACTTGGATGTGCGGTCCAGCCATGAGAAAGGTTGTCTAGATGCAACATACTGAGTAATAAACTGGTTATGCAAGCATCATTGGCACATCTGTACAAAGTTTCTTATTCTGGAAAATATTTTTTGTCATTCTGACCGTATTTATACAAATGGACTTTTAAAATATATTTAAGCAAAATAGTACTTGCATTTTAAAGGAATGGAAAGATAAATGCACAAGAAGCAGACAAATTATCTGTTTTAATTCATATGAAGATTATTATCTTAGGTACATTCTGTGTCAAGCAGAGGGGAATTACTCTGTTACGAAGAAAAAACATCCAACTTTTGCTAGTTAGCGAGAGCTGGTAAATGAAGAAAGCACGGTAATAGCAGTTGGTTCTGGGTATTGAAAAAAAAATGGAATATTCATTTCAGTTCAGCAATGTTTAATACTTACCCTTAGAAAATGTAAGAGTTTATAAAGGAGAGCCTATACCTGCCTTCAGAACCATAGTTTTTAAAGGAAAGCTTCAGGCAATGTAAGAAAGTCTACTCAGTCTACTCGTTGCTGACATAAAAAGTACATTTGTTCAAGTAGAAACACATACCTATAGTATATATATACACATATAGGTGTATCTATGTCTACATATTTTAAACATATTTTGTACAATTTATGCACGTATAAAAACACACATAAATGCGCGCGCGCAGTTTGTACATACGCATGCATACATGTACATATACGTCACTATTTAGAGAAGGCTCGTCCCGTAGGAAGGCTCTAGATGAGTGTATCAGAGAAATGTGGTGCAGGCCTGGTCCCATTTAAACCAGTAGCTAAACTCGGGAGGGTTTACGGAGCACGAAAGGACGGCTGGGTGCTATTGCTAGTTATTGATCAGGTTTCCTGTGTAGGTTACAGCTTCGTTCTTTATTTGTGCCTCTAACATTTTAAAATGCACCTGCAGGTGTCCCTCCTGTACTCCTGGTGCCAACGCCGTAAGGACGGCCTTGCACAACCAGCCTCACCGCTCTCCTGGTCACCGCTCTAAACGCGCTGCCAACAGCAACGCCGGCCCAGCCTGCTTTCGCTTAGCGCTGAGGCCTGCAGGAGGCCGGGCCGGGCC